GACTCCTATTTACGTGAAATAAAAAAATAAAATAACGAATTAACTGACCTATTTTTTTTTCGTCAAGAAACATCTCGTTAGTCAAATTAGTAACTCACTTTTAACACGTGTCTCTCGTTCGTAACGTCACGAATTAAAATTAAACAAAAATACATACGAAGAGAGATTTTTTTTTAATTAATTTTTTTTTTTTAAAGGTCTTTAAATTTATTTTCTTTTTTTCAAAATTTGCGCTTATTTTTTAATGTCAATTTCTTTTATACTTGATATTTTGAGAAATAAAAAAAAATAGGGGTTTTTTTTTTCCTCACAATTTCAGGGAAAATTAAATACCAGAGGAATGGCAAAGTGGAAATTTTTCCACCCCAAATAATTTTCTACTCTCTCATTCTATATACCTACGTTTTTCAGAAAGCAATTTCGAGCCATGTGATCTAATAAATTCAAAAATACTTTCCATACGAGTAAACGTTAAATTTATTTTTTTTTCTCTTTCTCATTTAAAGAAACTGCGTGAACATTGTCATCACCGAATTTTTTTTTTCATTTTTCCCTCCCCCCCCAAAAAAAAATTAAAATTGAATTTAACATAGGAATAAAAATTTTTATATTGTTCTTTATATCTCATAAAGAGATATAAAAAATAAGTATAAATTTTTTATTCTTTGATTAAAAAAAAAGTCAGACTATTTTTATAGCTTCTTAAATTTTTAATGACAAATATTTGTGATATTGAACGGGAGTGAGAGAGAGAGAGACACTTTCGATTAATTGATGCAATAAACTATAGTTGCAACACGTGAAACGGAAGGCACATAGCTTGTAATGCAAATAAAGATCGTAGATAAAATTGCGAGTTATGTTAGCGATAACAGGCCTATTGCCGAGAGAAACTTTGATAAAATTTGCTGACTCGAATTTCCGTACCATGAAACGAGAATATTTGAAATTGAATATTTATTTAGACTCAATGAGAAAATTCATCAAAAAAAAAAAAAATATATATATATATATGTGTGAAATTAAAAAAAAAAACAAATTTCAAAACAAAATTTTACAATTTTTTATAAATAGAATCAGTAAAAAATAATCTCATATTAAAAGCTTATTTCAAATAAATAAATTTATTTTATTATTTTTTATGATAAGAAAAAGCAAAAATTTAATTTTTTTCTTGGTGATATTTACTTGATATATATATAAATATTGAAAGAGAATATAAAAATAAATATAAGAATCGCTTTTCCTAGAGTGTAAAATATTCTTTTCTAAGAACGACATGGGTAGGGAAAATTTCTATAAGCAGTGATATCGATTTGTGTAACTAATCCGATAATGCATTATATGGGTAACATACTATTATCACCTCAAAGGCTCATGGGGATCCCTTATGAAGACTTTCTTCATTGATGTTCGAGCAGGTTTTATATTTCACTTAAATATAAAAAAATATTATATACCTTTAAAAAGAGTCCTAAAAACCTTCTTTTTTCACTATTATTATTATTAAAATAAAAATTCCTTTTCTTCTTTTTTTAAACAATTTTTCATAATTTATAAACAAAAATTTAATTTTTATTTATTCATAAAAAAATGAATTAATTTGTATTTATTTATTGAATAAAAAAAAATTTCTGTTTCTAGGTGGATTCGAACCTGAACCTAAATTTCATTATTCTACGCGCCTTAACAACTGCGACCACAACACGAATTAAGGTGAAAATTGCTTTTTCCTTTTTTTTTCCTTTACTATTCGTCAATTATTGTCAAAAAAAAATTCGAAATTAAAATATTTAATAAACTGATAAATACTAGAAAATTAAAATAATCAAATTTTTATTATTTTGCAGTTAAATTTAAATCTTAAAAAAGATTTTAAAAAAAAAATTTTTTTTACTCTCTTGAATATTTTCAATTGTGCGTATATAAAATTTAACGAAACGGAAGTTATTATTTATGATACAAATGGAGTCAGCATTGTATCGTGAATGGTAATGGCTCCATTATATTATAAGATACGAGTCACGACACTTTGGCGCGCCTAATCGTACCCCTTCCAATTTTCGCTTTTGTATCTATTCGTCGATATCTGAAAATGCCCTGAATTCGAACATTAAATTCCCGATTTCCGTTCTCTAATGCTATATACTCTCTCTCTCTCTCTCTTTCAATACTCGCAAGTATTGAATCGATCGTCTAAAGTACACCCAAACGATTCTCAATTTTCAATACCACCACCGACTTTATCTCGTAAAGGTTTCAGGTAATGGAAAACTTTTCCGAGAATCTACGTTTTTAAACTTTCTGATCTTGCTCAGGAATTCCAGACGAGATGAGAAACTCTAGAAAAATGGAGTATCAAAGAAAAAAAAGAAGTGTTTTTCAATCTAATTAATAAATCTTAATTAAGAAAACAAAATATATGAAATATTCTCGTTTTGAGAATTATAATTTTTTTATTATATTATAATTTAAATAATTATATATTATAATTTTCCATTATGAATATAGAATTGAAAAATCAACTAATGGGCGATTGTCTAAATTTACATTTCGAATTATTGTGTTTGAGGTTTGCTGCTTCTTCAAGCGTGAAATGGACAATATTAGTGATACCTAATCTCGTTATAGTCCCTGATTCTCCATTTATGGAACACGTGTCCTACACATGGACTCTATTACCGAAATTAACTTCCCACTACTGATTCAATGCTTTCACTCCTCAAAAATAAAAAAAAACATTTCTACTTTGATTGCAAATATCATTGATAAATTATTAAAACAAAAACAAACCAACGTTGGAATCACAATGATCCTATATTGGACTTACTTTGAAAAATTCTGTCTACTTTTAGCCTTCTTTGACCTAAAATTGACCTACTATGAACTTACTTTCAGCCTACTCAGAACCTAAATCGTCCTACTTTCAGACTACTTTGTCCTAAATTGACCTATTTTCAGTCTACATTTACCTTAATTGACCTACTTCGTCTTAAATTGATCTACTTTCAGCCTATGTCTTAATTTTAACCTACATTTCGTCTACCTCGTCCTAAAATGACCTATTTTCCCCTTTTTAACCTTAATTGTCCTTTTTTGACCTTGATTGACCTACTTTGACCTAAATTTATCTATTTTCAGCCTACTTTGTCCCAAATTGACCCATTTTTGGTTAACTTTTACCCTAATTGACCTAAATTAAACTACTTTCAGCCTAATTTGAACTTACATTTAGTCTACTTTGTCCTAAATTGACCTATTTTCAGCCTACTTTTACTTTAATTAACCTACTTTGACCTAAATTTATCTACTTTCAGCCTACTTTGTCCAAAATCGCCCTATTTTCGGTCTACTTTTTTCTCAGTGAACCTAATTTGATATACTTTCGGCCTACTTTGAACCTACTTTAGGTCTACTTTGTCATAAGTTGACCTATTTTTATCCTACTTTTATCTTAATTAACCTACTTTGAACCTACTTTGACCTAATTTTTCCTACTTTCAGCCTATTTTTACCTTCCATAGCCTACCTTGAACCCACTTTGACCTAAATTTTCCAACTTTCAGCCTATTTGTACCCTAATTGACCTACTTTGACCGAAATTGACCTACTTTCATTTTACTTTGAACCTACATTCAGCCTACGTTGACCTAAATTGTCCACATTAGACCCAAATAGAAAAATTGGTTTCAAAATAAAAATATAATCTTCCAATAAAAATATATTGATGGAGAAAATGTTCAACTACATATAAAAATGTCGATGATATAGGTATATTATTGGAAGAATACCTTACTTTTTTTTTAATTTCGCCTGAGGGTTTTATAATAATAATCTTGACGAAATCAACGTCATTTTTTCTTTTTTTTTTTTTTTTTTTTTGAAGTAAAACTCCTAAAAACTCGTCTGTTCCGTCAAATAATCCACCTGCGGGTAATATCGAAGATGGCCCCTTTATGATTACCTTCCAGCCAATAACTTGGTGAATTTCATGCGAAATTGGATGCGACGAAAGCGTACGCTCTTGATAAGAGAAGCACCGCGCTTATGCATATATATATAGTATAGTTCAAGACGGCCTAGAATTCTTTGAGTTCTTTGCGAACTTTTATATATATATATATATATATATATATATCGAAGAAGAATCTTGAAAATTCAAATGACGACAACGTCACAGGAAAATTTCAACGAATCATATAAATTAATTGAAAATAAATATTATTTTCTGTCATTTTATGAAATAATAAAAAATGTATTAATAATACTAAATAAATATAATATAAAAATATTAATAATTAATATAATTATATTAATATAATAATTATAATATTATTATTACATTTTTTTTATAACAATTATTATAAAATTAATAATGAGAGAGAGAGAGAGAGAGAGAGAGAGAGAGAGAGAGAGAGAGAGAGAGAGAGAGAGAGGGGGAGGGGGGGAATTTATTTTAAAAAGAATATAATTTCTTTTAATATAAGATTATTTTTAAACTTTTTCCTAATAAATAAAAAAGAAACATTGCAGACAATTTTTTTTTTTTTGCAATATTCCCATTTCCTGATTGCCAAAAAAAAGATGTAGATTGTTATCATTAAATCTGCTCAACATATGTGGAACAAGTTTTTTTTTCGCACATATGGCAAATGTGTGTGTATTTTTTGCGGATTATATTGTCGTAAAATTATATGATTTGCGTGATGCTATTACTGTTATTGTCCGACACGCGTTTGGCCCACTCTTTGACGTTTTTTGCGGTTTCCGGTTTCCTCTTTCCTTCAAAGAGCCATATGAACTACTTTTAATTTTGAATTTTTTTTTTTTTTTTGCTAAATATTTTTTAAATAAATCTATTTATTATAGAACACTATTATTAAAAATTTTAGACATTCTTTTTTTGCAATTATAATTTTTGCCTAAAAGAATAAAAAAAAAAAACTTTTTCTAAATATTTTAGTGTTTTTTTTTTTTTCAAAGAAGAAAAAATTTCTTACCTTGTTGGGATATCCGTTGTATCGTAGAAGTTTTTTGCAGCATTTGCCACGATTCTCGTAGTAGAACATCTGGACCATTTCTGCCCGATCTGTAGCGGCGCTGATGGTAAAAGGTCCACGTCGAGATGAACTATTATTCCGATTAGTATTTTGTTGCGGGGGCGGCGACTCCCGGCGCCCTAAAGGCACGCACGGGCACCACCCCGAGACCATCACACACCGGGCTTTTATGCCCGATATTCACGGATAATAAAAACAAAAAAACAAAACAATTTTCCCCCACTCTTTAAAAAAATGCCAATCACATCCCTTTCTTCATTATTAGTCACTCTTTTTTTTTTGTTTTATTGCAAAAAACAATAAATGTTCCAATGTCAGGTACTTTGAGTACTTAATTTCTTTTTTCTTTTTTCAAAATTCTTTGGTACGAATAATAGAAATTGATTTTTGGCACGGATTTTTTTTTGGTCATCGTTGACTATACGAACACATTTTTTTTTTTTTTTCGCCACTCACTATATTAAGTCTCTTTGGTTTATGGAAGAGAAATAAGCTTCTTTGGTTTAGTACCTGTAACAAAAAAAAAGTGTTCTTCATTTAAAATTAAAAACAAAAATAGATAATAAAAAATCTTATTCTATGAAAGAATAAAGAAAATAAAAATCACTTTTAATTCGTTGGTAAAATTAGATAACAAAGAAGAAAATTCAGACACAAAAGAATTAGTAAGAAGAGTGAAATAATTGAAAGAAGACAAAGTGACGACCCCGACGAGAGTAAAAACGAAGAAAATTCACTAATTAAATGGAGAAGAATCAATGGCTGAGGGATTCAAGTCGCGTTTAATTTCCTGGTTCGAGAAACGATCGAACAAAACGGAAGTTTGAGAAGGGGAAGAAAATTAGTATGAAAAACCACTACACAGAAAGCTAATTTGCACCTCATTTTACATAGAAAACCCTTTTCGATACAAACCTATGTATATTGCAACTAATTAAATTCACTGACGAATTTTCATCAAATACGAATTTCAAATGTCTAACAAAGGATAAATTGCATAATGTACCTACACTTGACAAAAGTTATACACAAAGAAAGGAGAGAGAGAGAGAGACAGACAGACTTTGAATTTTCACTATATAAACTCTCTTTCATTCTAATTTATACGAAATTTATACAAAATATATTATTTACAAAAGCGCCTAGACAGAAAAGAGGCCAAGGTTTATCGCAAAGACGCAAAAACTGGTCTAAAGAAGAAAATAATCTGCAATTCATACTATATTCAAAATACTTTTTTATCAACAACTGTCCTTTATTTAAAAAAAACAATTTCCCCCATTACTAAAAAGAAAAACTTTTTAAGTAATTTTTATTTACAACAACAACAACAAAACAGTCGAGCTATTTTTAAATATCAAACTAATTTAATATTAATAATAAATAATAATAATTAATAACAATAATACTATATTATTAATAATAATAATAATAATAATAGAATTAAAAAAACTAAACAAAAGATTTTGTTTGAAACAAAAACTTTATTCTAGCTGTGCATTTTATTGTTTGAATTTTTTCAACAGAATTCTTTTTAAATTGAAAAATTGTTGAGGAATATAAAAAGAAAAATATAAATTCCTCCGCGGGCAACTTAATACTTTGAAAAAATAAAAACATTTTTTTTTTTTTATAAAACTTTTTCAAAACAAAAAAAAAGATGTAACATAAAATGTAACTTAATAAAAATAGAACTTAAAAAAGAAAAACTGTGGAGGGATTTTTTTTCTACAACCACAAATGTAAGTTTGTAGTGTATGTAAAGTGGAAACATTTCCATCACGTAAACAGAATCATATATTTTTTTTTTTATATAACTCTTTGCTCCAGGAAGCATCTTTCAGATTCCGTTTTCTCTCTCTCTGTCTCATTCGCATCTCACTAAATCCATCATACATTTGATTCCTTTTTCTTTTTCCTCTTTCTTATCTGAGACTTATTTTTTTTATTTCCCTCTACGCAATTTTAATGACAATTCGACCTTTTTTTCTGTAAAACTATTTGACCTCTTTCAAAATAACAATAATAAACGATTGTCATTCGAAACGAAAACGGCAAAAAGTTTTTGTTTTATTTCATAAAAGTTGGATTATTGTTTTGATTGAATAAGTTGGAAAAATTAAATTTCTGAATTTTTCCGATCCCTAGAAACAAAATGAGATGTTCACTAAGCAAAATTACATTTAAGAATATAATCAATGCATTTTATTTATTAAATTAAAAAAAATCCCAAAATTTATTTTGACCTAGCTCAACATCCGCTGGACCAATAAAAAAGTGCGCCATACATTTTTTGTTCAGAACTTTCTTCTAATCACTATGGCGGTATTCCCGAAAGATTATCTTGCAAATTTAATTTTTCTAAATTTTCTCCAAATTTGTTTTCTGGTGTAGCTCAGCATTCGCTGGACCAATCAAAAAGTGAACCATACGTATTTTGTTCAGAACTTTCTTCTAATTACTTTGGCGGTATTGCCGAATGATTATCTCGCGAATTTATTTTTTCGAAAATTTTTAAAAAATTTATCTGAGTGTAGCTCAGCATCCGCTGGACCAATCAAAAAGTGCGCCATACATTTTTTGTTCAGAACTTACTTCTAATCACTATGGCGGTATTCCCGAACGATTATCTTGCAAATTTAATTTTTTGAAAATTTCTCCAAATTATTTTTGAGTGTAGCTCAGCATCCGCTGGACCAATATGAAAGTGCGCCATACTTTTTTTGTTCAGAACTTTCTTCTAATCACTATGGCGGTATTCCCGAAAGATTATCTTGCAAATTTAATTTTTCTAAATTTTCTCCAAATTTGTTTTCTGGTGTAGCTCAGCATCCGCTGGACCAATCAAAAAGTGCGCCATACATTTTTTGTTCGAGACTCCCGGGTTAAGACTTTGGCGGTATTCCCGACCAATTATCTCGCAAATTTAATTTTTCGAAATTTTTTAAAAAATTTATCTGTGTGTAGCTCAGCATCCGCTGGACCAATCAAAAAGTGCGCCATACATTTTTTGTTCAGAACTTTCTTCTAATCACTATGGCGGTATTCCCGAACGATTATCTTGCAAATTTAATTTTTCGAAATTTTCTCCAAATTTGTTTTCTGGTGTAGCTCAGCATCCGCTGGACCAATCAAAAAGTGCGCTATACATTTTTTGTTTGCTACTTTTTGCTAAAGACTTTGGCGGTATTCCCGAACGATTATCTTGCAAATTTAATTTTTTGAAAATTTCTCCAAATTATTTTTGAGTGTAGCTCAGCATCCGCTGGACCAATATGAAAGTGCGCCATACTTTTTTTGTTCAGAACTTTCTTCTAATCACTATGGCGGTATTCCCGAACGATTATCTTGCAAATTTAATTTTTCTAAATTTTCTCCAAATTTGTTTTCTGGTGTAGCTCAGCATCCGCTGGACCAATCAAAAAGTGAACCATACATATTTTGTTCAGAACTTTCTTCTAATTACTTTGGCGGTATTGCCGAATGATTATCTCGCGAATTTATTTTTTCGAAAATTTTTAAAAAATTTATCTGAGTGTAGCTCAGCATCCGCTGGACCAATCAAAAAGTGCGCCATACATTTTTTGTTCGAGACTCCCGGGTTAAGACTTTGGTGGTATTCCCGACCAATTATCTCGCAAATTTAATTTTTCGAAATTTTTTAAAAAATTTATCTGAGTGTAGCTCAGCATCCGCTGGACCAATCAAAAAGTGCGCCATACATTTTTTGTTCGAGACTCCCGGGTTAAGACTTTGGCGGTATTCCCGACCAATTATCTCGCAAATTTAATTTTTCGAAATTTTTTAAAAAATTTATCTGTGTGTAGCTCAGCATCCGCTGGACCAATCAAAAAGTGCGCCATACATTTTTTGTTCAGAACTTTCTTCTAATCACTATGGCGGTATTCCCGAACGATTATCTTGCAAATTTAATTTTTCGAAATTTTCTCCAAATTTGTTTTCTGGTGTAGCTCAGCATCCGCTGGACCAATCAAAAAGTGAACCATACGTATTTTGTTCAGAACTTTCTTCTAATTACTTTGGCGGTATTGCCGAATGATTATCTCGCGAATTTATTTTTTCGAAAATTTTTAAAAAATTTATCTGAGTGTAGCTCAGCATCCGCTGGACCAATCAAAAAGTGCGCCATACATTTTTTGTTCAGAACTTACTTCTAATCACTATGGCGGTATTCCCGAACGATTATCTTGCAAATTTAATTTTTTGAAAATTTCTCCAAATTATTTTTGAGTGTAGCTCAGCATCCGCTGGACCAATATGAAAGTGCGCCATACTTTTTTTGTTCAGAACTTTCTTCTAATCACTATGGCGGTATTCCCGAAAGATTATCTTGCAAATTTAATTTTTCTAAATTTTCTCCAAATTTGTTTTCTGGTGTAGCTCAGCATCCGCTGGACCAATCAAAAAGTGCGCCATACATTTTTTGTTCGAGACTCCCGGGTTAAGACTTTGGCGGTATTCCCGACCAATTATCTCGCAAATTTAATTTTTCGAAATTTTTTAAAAAATTTATCTGTGTGTAGCTCAGCATCCGCTGGACCAATCAAAAAGTGCGCCATACATTTTTTGTTCAGAACTTTCTTCTAATCACTATGGCGGTATTCCCGAACGATTATCTTGCAAATTTAATTTTTCGAAATTTTCTCCAAATTTGTTTTCTGGTGTAGCTCAGCATCCGCTGGACCAATCAAAAAGTGCGCTATACATTTTTTGTTTGCTACTTTTTGCTAAAGACTTTGGCGGTATTCCCGAACGATTATCTTGCAAATTTAATTTTTTGAAAATTTCTCCAAATTATTTTTGAGTGTAGCTCAGCATCCGCTGGACCAATATGAAAGTGCGCCATACTTTTTTTGTTCAGAACTTTCTTCTAATCACTATGGCGGTATTCCCGAACGATTATCTTGCAAATTTAATTTTTCTAAATTTTCTCCAAATTTGTTTTCTGGTGTAGCTCAGCATCCGCTGGACCAATCAAAAAGTGAACCATACATATTTTGTTCAGAACTTTCTTCTAATTACTTTGGCGGTATTGCCGAATGATTATCTCGCGAATTTATTTTTTCGAAAATTTTTAAAAAATTTATCTGAGTGTAGCTCAGCATCCGCTGGACCAATCAAAAAGTGCGCCATACATTTTTTGTTCGAGACTCCCGGGTTAAGACTTTGGTGGTATTCCCGACCAATTATCTCGCAAATTTAATTTTTCGAAATTTTTTAAAAAATTTATCTGAGTGTAGCTCAGCATCCGCTGGACCAATCAAAAAGTGCGCCATACATTTTTTGTTCGAGACTCCCGGGTTAAGACTTTGGCGGTATTCCCGACCAATTATCTCGCAAATTTAATTTTTCGAAATTTTTTAAAAAATTTATCTGTGTGTAGCTCAGCATCCGCTGGACCAATCAAAAAGTGCGCCATACATTTTTTGTTCAGAACTTTCTTCTAATCACTATGGCGGTATTCCCGAACGATTATCTTGCAAATTTAA